CTTCAAAATGGGTCAGGTGACTTAAAGTACTCAACCCCCTCTGTTAGAAAATAAAAAGTCAAGTACACACATCATTTTCAAATAAAATCCCATCCACACAAAACCGCATACGTGTGCTATTGACCGGGTTGGTAGTATTTGCCAAAAAGTTCGACCCATTCTATTCAATCAGAGCAAGCTTCCCTTTCTCGTTGTCGCTTCTCCAAACATGAAACATAGCGTTGTGCAGTTTGTTCATGTGGGTCGACAAAGAGGTGGAATAGCTTTTAAGCATCATTTTGGAGAATAAAGTCAACAAGACACAAGAAAGGTGGAGGAAGGGTTAGTTGGTGTATAATAAGTGACTGCAAAGCACTCCTTCTCCTTTGCTCCTCACAATAAAAAATATTCTGTATATATCTGTGCCGTCCACTGTCCTGCAGTTATGAAAGTGCTTCTTAAAGCTACTCTTTCCACAAAGCTCAGATTGTTTTTACATCATGAGCCCGTGCATTCAGGCAAACTTGCTCAGCATAATAAAATGGATGCATATGTAGCGATTTTAAATTCAAAATAAATGTCGAAAATTAATCAAATTAAATTATGACATTTATGCACTCGTTGAAGGGGCACCACCCACCTTTCTGGTGGGAAAAAGGACGAAACAAAGTTCAATTGAGTAATTAAACGTTGGATCAGTCTTACACAGATTTAAATCAGTCTCTCATCTGATGCCGGAATTCTTCATTCAGGGACTACTTTCTGAAAGACCACTAAGACGACAACTTAGAATTAAATGGACAATTTATTAACAGCTATATGATAACAAAACGTCAATAAATGATGATCAAATAATGAGCAAATCAAAGCACATCTAATGAATAAACGAAGGAATGGTTTAAATTAAACCTAAGACTGGAGGTTAATAATAGTGAGTGAATAAAGGGGAAATTTAACCTACGTTAACGGAGTTACGAGGGTAAATAAAAGGAATTTGGAGAACTAAACTATAATTTATAAGAGTAAGCTACTGAACGGTTGACGGCATCACCCAGTTCTCATCACAGCAGTTTAGAGGATTTAGCCTACTTTGGACGTCGGTTCTCAGCGGCACCCTTGGAATGGATCAGCTGAAGTTCTGTGGCTACCGGACCGGATACTGAAGGTTCGGCGGGGAATTCTTCCGCCGTGTCTGGATCTCAGCTTCAGGACCGTGTCAGCGCCGTTAGATACTTCGGATCTCTGGGCCTCTCGGAACCAGGTGGCAAAGCAGCTTGGCAGATGATGCTGGTCGGCGTTCAGGACTTGCTTGGTTGCAGATTAATTCGCGCCAATAACTTAAGAAAATAATTTCGCTGGCCAGCCGATATTATCTTCAGGAGTCACTTTAGCGAACAAAAATAAAAAGACTTAGACTGAGGTTCTCTTATGCGCGCAGCTTGTTACTGAGGCTCTAAAGGACTTGGGAATGCTTTCATCCAAGTTTAGAATAAAAATCTGAGCTTAAGGCAATTAATAAAACGCGGGGAAAATTGCGAACGATAGGCGAAGACAAAAGAAAACTAGACGAAGACAAAAACGGAAGAGACAAAACTGAAGAGAAGACAAAACCGAAGAGAAGACAAAACTGAAGAGAAGACAAAACTGAAGACCGAGCAAAGACTCCCGGGCTCTTTTAAACCATCCCGTGTGGGCGTGAGCCAAGAGGAAAGTTACAGCCAATGCTGTAACCCGATGCAGCACATCGACTGGCAGCGAATTTAACTCAACTTGATATTAAAAGCGAGCTAGATCTAATTTACTCACTCACTATGATTAAACTGTTTATAACATCACATACGATCACATTTCACTTCATTGTTTCTTATGAGCAGACGCATTAAAGCATGACATTGCAAACAGTAAACTTTGATCAGCCGTCTTCTTGACACTAACAGAGGATTAATGACTTTTAAAAGTTAGAGAGGGACAGAAAACAAATTATCTATTCGAACAGAAACACCATCCAGCATAAGAAACACATACGTAATAATATTTGACAACATTATAACCTTGTCAATCAAGCTTCCCAGATGATTAATATATATTTTTGTGTGAGGTAGATAAAACATAGTATGGATACATTCCGAAACTCTTAACTTGAGTCTAAACGAGTTTCACGTTACTACTTCTAAACTACTAGCCTATCTTGGGAATACCATTTACTAAGCTACGAAGTGTATAACAAAAGGAAAGAAATACACGTGATTAGATTCCTGCCATTTGGCTCTGATCAAACCATATTCAGGCATCACCACTAGGAGGAGCTCTTGGTCCATGGAAAACCTGGAATAAATTTGTGAAGTTAACAGTTTGGCTTGTGGATATGTTACAGAATTGGAAAAAAGACCATTTCATTAAGAATGTGGTGTACAGACAGAAAATCCTGGTGAAGTGTCCATTAAACATGAAGTTAAACCATTTTCAGGCATCTTCTTCCTTCTGCTCTGTAAAGAAAGCCAAGGAATTTATGGCAGGCATCTGGTTTTTCAGATTTGGCGCCAACTGGCCTGTTTTCCCCCCTAGGTCATTGGGTTAATCCTGAAGTGTCAATTCTGATCTTTCCCAACCAGGGTGAGAGACTCCGTGTTTATGGGTCTGTGTGGTTGATAAGCAACTTGTCCTTTTTGGGAAGCGTTAAAGATTCACTATCACCTCCCAAATGGTTGCCTGGGTCGTAAATGGGAACTTGGTGTGCAAACCGTTACTCCCCCATTTCCTGTCCAAACCAGAGGAGCCTGCATTCCTTTGAGGGGTGAATTCAAGGTGGATAGCAGAAAGCAGTTGTCTCATTACATATCCCCCCTTCGTCTCGATGGCAGCTCCAGGAGCCATTGGGACGACGAGATGAGACGACCAGGTGGAAGCAGCAGTTAGTCCAAGGAGGGTGATGCGTCTCGTTCAGAACTATCTACTTCGTTAGATCTATTGTGTGTGTTAAGCCTACTACATCTATGGGTGCGGGGTTACAGGAAGCTGACTACACCTCGAGCATGTGGCTCACCTTGTCTTCCTCTGGCTGTTCAACTTCCTGTTCCGTTTCAGGTTGTCTACGGAGTCGTAACCTAGTTACACAGTGGTCTATTTTGTACTGTAGGGCTTTACCACGTTTGACGTAGATGAAGGTTAACCCGAAGGTCAGGAGGTACCCTAACACTATGGCGGCTGCTAGTAAGGTGTCTGGGGTGGACCAAACATAGACTATTGGTTGCAGCGGGGACTTCTCTTGGGACCTTATGTCTATAAGGACGTCATCTACAGGCGTTAGGTCAATGATCTGAGTACCTGCATACTGGATTTGAGAAATAGTGTTTGGATCTAACTGCAGCGTATGCTTGCTGAAAAACGCTGGCACTTCAATCTCTGTTTCGAATTGCTCAGGGTTGAGGTAAAAGAGGGCAATGTCATCTATATGGAGAATGGCATTTGGTGGCACCTCAATCCACATGGTCTGATCCAGTAGAGAAATGCGTGTGGCAGTATCGTGCTGGTCGTAATTTACAATGGCAGTCTTGGTGGGGGTGTTAACTAACCAACGGTGACCCACTCTTTCGGCCTGCGTTACAGTCACTTGTGAGCGGTGTCTTGCTGTAGTAGGGCATTTGGTGTCGGCCACCATGGGCGTAAGGCCGCAGAGGCCATTAGTACTGTCCCACACAAATGGTTTACTGGGGCAGAGGTAGTGTATGTCTTTGGTTCGTGTGCACATACGCAGGTTAGGAGCTAGATATAGGTCAGGATTGCTGTCGTGGTAAGCGACCACTGGTGGGGTCTGAATTTGGAGGTGTGCGTCCTCTTTCCAAAACCCGACATTGACTACATCCTTTAGCCTATAGATGCTTCCTGATGCTATAATTGGCAAGTTAATAAGGAAAGCAATTTCTCGATCTTCGGGATTAACGTAGATCGGCACAGCGCTACCTAGGGTATACGCGAGGTGGGCTTGTAAAGGAGTGGTGGCCTCTCTGGTTGCAGTTGATAGTAAATCCTGAACCAATGAGAGAGGTACCAAGTACGGAGGAATCCGGCCTGCAGCCAAACTGTCTATTGAGGATGATATTTCTTGCAACATGTCTGACATGAGCATATTCAATAGCATTGTGTGAGCATAGTCGACCTGGACCACCGACAACAAAGAATTTACAGCACGCAGCGTCTTATTCAGGACTTCTGTGTGGGTGTTAACCACCAGAACGGTGCCCTTGACTGTTTGACCAATAGTCTGCAGTTGTGTCTGCTGTCTGTTTATCTGAGCCCTGATGTCTGGGATTTCGGCTTCTAGCTCACCCACATGGCGTTTGACGGCAGCTAAGCTAATTGCATTAACAGAGGAGAGCCCAACACCAAAAAGAGAGCCAACAACCGAGGCTGCGGTGAGCAATGCTCCGATAAAACGCTTGGACCTCCTGTTGGTACCACTTAACTCTGTTTGAGAGACAGTGAATTTCTGAAGTTGCTCTAACATGTAAGTAATGTCCAACTCGGCATGATTTACGACCTGTCTGCTCCAATGTGTCCCGGCCCAACTGGTCAGTTGAGCTGTTACCGGAACATTTTTCTTGAGGACTTCCTTAGGGTTGAGCCTGACAAACACCTTCTGTGTGTGCAGGCGACAGTCTGTTATCAGGAGTCCAGGCTGATCCCTTAACACAATTCCAGAGTCCGGTCCTGGCTCTATGATCTCAGGGCTAGCTGGAGCAGCTACCAAGCCGAGAATCAGGAGCGCTATCAGCCAAATCATCCTGAGGAAGAGGGTGGACATAGTTAGGATGAGTTGGTAGAGGACAATCTAGAATTCAAATGTTCCCTGTCACTTTATTTTCTCCTCCCCCTTTGTAACCCAAAGTGTGCCCGAGGGCAACTCAGTGGCAACAATTCAACAATAATACAGACGCACAAATAGGATAAACTTCACGTGGACACAATATCTATGAGGACTAGGGGACCTGACGTCAATCAGGAGAACTTAGGACTGTTCTAGTTTATGACTCAAGGGTGGCGCTGGAGGCCCCGACAAGTCCCATGGGGTTGTGGTGAAGTTTAATCTGGTTGCGGTGGACCCATTTAAGGGTCGGCTCTTTGTTGCCCTTTGCGATCTTAATTTGGTACACAACAGAAGAGAGCTTTTCAGTGATCAGGTACGGGCCTGCCCAGCGGGGCAGGAACTTTCGTGCCAGTCTCCCAGACTTTGGGGCTTTATCTCCAATGGGCTGGGTGAACAGGTAGTACCATACCTTGTCACCTACTTGGAGTTCCTGTTGGGAGGCTTTTTGGTCATAATAGGACTTGCGTCCTTCAGCACTTTTGCTGAGATGCTCTTGGGTGAAGGCAAACGTTGCCTTCAGGTGCTGGTGTAAGTCAGTCATATACTGATGGGTCGTGTAGGCCGTTGCTATACTGGCCTCACCTGGCTGATACAGCAGGTGCAGAGGTAGGGTCATCTGTCTGCCCGTCATCAACTCGAAGGGTGAGAACCCGGTTGACCCATGTGGAGTCGCTCTGATGGCCATCAGGACCAAGGGAAGCTTAACATCCCAGTCCTTGTGGTTGGCTAACACATACTTTTTCAGTATGGTTACCACTGTTCGGTTTGCCCGTTCTACCTGTCCAGACGACTGGGGGTGGTGGCTGATGTGAAAGTTGGCTTTGACGCCCAACAGTTGCCACAGTTGTTGCATTACCTCTGAGGTGAAATGTGTCCCTCTGTCAGAGTCGACACGAGTTGGGAGTCCGAACCGCGAGAAGATGTGGTTCATCAAGAGGTATGCTGTGGTTTGAGCCGTATCGTTTGGGGCTGGTAGGCATTCTACCCATTTGGTGAATGCACAGACAACTGTGAGGAAGTATTTGTTTCCTCTTGCTGACTTAGTGAGAGGACCCACCCAATCGATCTGGAGGTCTGACCAAGGAAAGGAGATACCTCTGCGCTGTAGGGGTGCTCGATGAAGTGGGTTTGCCGGTTGAAACTGGCAGCAAACCAGGCACCCTTTTATGTAATCAGCTACATCTTTCTGCATGTGTGGCCAATAGGCCACCTGTTGGAGAGCATGGAGCGTGGCTTTGTTTCCTCTGTGTCCTGCGCACGGTGTGTCATGGGCGTATGTCAACATTACCCCCCTGTGGCTGCGAGGCACCACGAGGGCAGGCGAAGTGAGTGCTTCGGAGACATAAACCAGAAGGCCCTTGACGAGCCGCAGTGAAGAGCGCACGCGGAAAAGATGGCGCAGGCCAGGGATGGAGGCAAGCAAGTCAGGAGGCATGGAGGAGTCAGGAGGCCCTGAAAGGAACTGCGTCATGGCAGCAATGGCTGGGTCCAAAGCTTGGAGCACCAGCAAGTCAGAGTCAGAAAAAGCCGGAGCCACAGTGGCGGAGACCGGGCCCGAGGGAGCCGGGCGAGGTGGAGCTCGAGACTGGGCTCTGGTGACAGCACAAACCAGGGGCACGGGTGGGAGGGGAAAAACAGAGGGCTCAAAGTGCCAGTTTGAGCCAGTTAAGGCCCCCTGCTTGGCCAAGGAGTCAGCCTGGTCATTAAACATCTTGTCTGGACCAGGGATACGAGAGTGCCCCCTGACTTTCTTCCAATAGATCTGGAGATCATGGTTAGAGGTCAAGAAGTCGCACGCCAGGAACAGATCTTTGTGTTTGACCGGCTTTCTGTTCGAGGTCAAGAAACCGTTGCGTTTCCACAAAGGCAGATGACATGAAAAGCTGAGTCGCGCATAGTTGGAATCTGTACAAATCGTTAAGGCGTGGATTTTGTGTTCCACCGCAAGTTGCAAAACAATCAGAATGCCTGCCACTTCAGCATACTGGGACGTTTGGGCCCCTAGGTTGAAGCTGAGTGGTTCACACGGTTCATCGTTGACCCAGACAACACCCACGCCTGCTCTAAGAACAGTGTCGTGATGGTATGAACAACCATCAACGTAAGCTGTAATCATGTCTTTGCAGACATTGTCGTCGAAGTACCGGTGGCAAGATAATTCAGGTGGCTCGGGGTCGCAGGTTGGGGACCCTGTGTCCGCGCTGTCTGTCAAGCAGCTTTGGCACGCTGCGAGTTCCATCCCGAGAGGTGTTTTGCGATTTTGGGCGTAGTGGACCTCGATGTCAAAGCTCTGAAGAGCCATAAGCCAAGATGCTACACGAGCGTTGGTTACAACGCCGTCTCTGATTCTTTGGCTGTTAAGGAAGGTCACTGGTTGATGATTGGTTTCCACAATCACCTTTTGGCCTCCAAGATAATTCGAAAAATGCTTCACAGCCCACACAGTGGCGAGAAGCGCCTTTTCGCAGTCGGAGAACTTTAGTTCAGGAGCCAACAAGGTTTTGCTAGCATACGCGACAACTCGTTTATCCGAGTCATGGATCTGGTATAATCCTGCACTAAGGCAGTGACAAGAGAAACCGACCTCCAGATAGAACGGTCTGTTGCAGTCTGGGTAGGCAAGACAAGGAGCTGCACAGAGTTTGTCTTTTAAAGCTTGCATGGCGTGTTGTTGGGACGGTCCCCAAATGAATGGGACGTCCTTTTTCAGTAAGTTGGTGAGGGGTTTTGCTAAGTCTGCATAGTCCTCAATGAACTGTCGGGAGTAGTTGCATACTCCCAAAAAGCTGCGAAGCTCTGAGACGTTCGTGGGAGCTTTAAGGTTTGACAGGCCTTGAATTCGACTCAGCTGTGGTTCGACACCTGTTGGACCAACCAGCAAACCGACGTAGTTCACCTTGGTCCTGCACCACTGACATTTCGACAGAGATATCTTTGCCCCGGCGTTCGTGAGCTGGTTCAGGACATGGTCAATCTCAGCGAGATGCATGTCCAGGGTTTGGTTCCTCATTAAGATGTCATCGACATATATGAGGGTGCCTCTCTCACTAGCATCTGGGCAGGCTTTGTTCAGAAAGATGTTGAACTCTGCTGGCGAGTTGGCATAGCCGAAAGGGCATCGGGTGAAGGTGTACTGCCTGTTGGCAAAAGTGAACGCCAGTTTGTGCTGGTCAGCTTCCTGTACTGGTATCGTCCAGAACCCTGATGCCACGTCAAGAGTGGAGAAGTATCTCGCGTCAGTGATCTTTGGCAGATCCTGTTGGAGCTGAGCCATAGGCCACCTGGAAAGGGGAACTTGTTGGTTCAGCTTTCGGTAATCGATGGTCAGTCGCCATTTACCGTTTGGTTTCAGTACCGGCCAGAGTGGGGCTGAGTAGGTACTGTTACATGGCCGAATGATCCCTTTCGCCAAAAGATCGTCTATGATTTCCTGAATAGGTTCATAGGACGCTAAGGGAATTTTGTACTGGCGTACAAAAGTTGGTGGTGCATCCGGTGGTGTCGGAATGCGGATAGAGTGGATAGAGGTTAAGCCACAGTCAAGCGAGTCTTTTGCGAAAGAGGCTCGATATCTGTGCAGAAGTTTGCGAAGCTTTTCACGCTCCTCTTCGCCGTTCAGGGCGTCTGCCTCAGCTACGAGCTGTTCGACTTTGGCATCAAAGTCTGGATCGTGCTCAGGTGTTTGCCCGGTTGGGAAGATAGAGGGTTCTACCCCGGAAAGTGTATGGGCCGATTCTGGCTCCGAACTGACGCTTAGGACTTGCACTGTGTGCAGGATCATCTGTGAGTCCTCAGAGAGGTCGACCTGACAGATGGTGTCGTGGTCCAGCGGTACAGTTGGGAAGAGCGAGATAGCCCTGGAAGGTAGGGTATGAAAGACCTGTTCCGGCGAATGGTCTGACATCAGAGAACGGGGCATTTTTCCTATTACAGGAATCCTCAATTCAAAGTCGTGGAACGACGTGCTGATCAACCAACCCAGCGGGGTGGATTTAGGGATCAGGATATCTTCGGGTGTCGTGTTTTGTACAAGCAAGTGTGTGAATCTCGAGTGAAGCTCAAGAAGAGGAGTTGCCTGAGTAGACAGCCCTAGTTTAAGAAAGAGCAACGACGGCTGGAAGAAAGCTTGAGTGTGCGACAGCTTTTGTCCACGTTGTAGGTTCAAGCGAATGGGAACGTTTGTGGTCATTGCAGGTATGACAATGTCAAGTTCATTGGCTACCTGACAGGCTTCAGGGATCGACTGTCCTGATATGATGTTGTCGACATCAGGGGTCAGGGTTTCCTCATTAACACTGGTAAGGGACCACAGTATGTTGTTAATGGTATCGACCTGGACTGCCAACCTGACCAGTATATCACTTCCCATGTAGACCTGATATGGTAGGTCTGGGATGACCAAGAAGTGGTGAGTCATCTCCCTTTTGTTCCATCGCACAGTTAAGGCACAGACGCCTTCAGCAGTCATGGTAGCTTTAGGAAGGGAGTCCAAGGGGAAGCGAAATGCTTTCCGAACACACTGGAGGTTCGGGTCATCCCTAGACAAGGCGTCGTACAGTTCACGGCTGATGGCTGATCTGTCAGCCCAAAGAGCCAAAATTCACATCGTTGACGTGATTCTCATTCAAGTTGATGCCTTCAGTGATCAATGGCCCGGGTGTGTCGGGTCCATTGGTGTCATCGAATTTGCACAAAAATGTGTCCCTTTTTATGACTGAGTCATCGAAAGGCCACGAGCAGGGTTGTGGCTCGTCGTCAGTCAAGTAGGGTTGTTCCGGTGAGCTTACACTTGTCGGTGTGCTTGTAGCAAGTTCACGCGTCAAGGCGTAACACTGAGCCCGATTCTTGTCGGTTGCTGGTATGGGTAATGGTCTGCGGACCTGTGCCCATATTTTCAGCTGTCGATAGTCGATCAGGGGCTCAAACCGTTTTAAAAGGTCTTGACCGATGAGGAAAGGAATCGACTCAAGGGGCGACACATACACGGGGTGCATGATTTTCATTGGTCCAATGGAGATGTTCAACATCGTCATTGTATTTAAAGTCGTACTGTCTGTAGAGTACGGCCGAATCTCCATGGCGCAGGGCTGCAGCTTGATGTCCCTGTTGGACTGCTGCACCATATTGCGCAAGCGATTAAAGAGCGTGGAGGACATCAGAGTGATGTCAGCAGCAGTGTCCAGGAGTGCTTCGTGTTGAAGTTCATTTTCAAGGACGGTATTAACGTAAAACTTCTGTGCGATGCCTTTCTCAGTGAGGTTGCACAAGAATTGGAGGAAAGGTGGTTCAAGCCGAATAAGTGAGGAGTCTTCTTCGGCTGGCTCCTCTGCGGAGTTCGCCTGTACTACCAAGACGGCGCTGGTAGATGTCGTTTCTTGTGATGTGTTGTCCTGAGGTTCAAGATCGGCAGGAGTGTCAGCTGGTGAGGGTGTCACCGACTCCTGTAAGGACATACACACGTCCTCCTGAAATTCAGTTTGCTGGACAGGCATCATGTTTGGCTCAGAAGTGTCATCCTGGACGGCGGCGACAGCGACAGAGAAGAGATCTGCTTTCTTATCTCCTTTTCTCTGTATTCTACGGATTATTTGTCTAAGGAGTTTACGTTCTTCCTCTGTCAGATCAGAGGACTTTGATTCACCCTTAGCTCCGCCTTTAGATCCACTACCCTTCTGGGGAGGGTCTGATTTGGCCTTTGTACCCATCTCTTCGTCAGAAAATGCTGATTGAGACTGCGGGTAAGGTCGCTCTGAGTTTCGTTCTCGGCGTGGGCCATAACGATCTGACCGGTCTCTCCACCCCCTGTTATCAGGTCGGTAGGGCCGATGGGTGTCATCCCTTCTAGGGTGAGCCCCATCCCTGCGAGAGTACGAGGGTGGACGATCTTCGTCAAATCTGACCTGGTGTTGTTCACTGTCAGACCGAGGCTGCTTCAGGTTTTGACCTTTATCAGCTGGCTGATATCGGGAAGTTTTCAGATTCTGGGTTGGTCGGGCTGTTGCAGTTTGAGGTGCATCTGAATGCGCACCCACGGCACCACCCTCCAGATCTAGGGGCATGGACCTTGTGTCCACAGCCAAGACAGTACCAGGTTCGGCTTTCTTGGATTGGGTGTGTCGCTGTTTAGCGAAGCCTTTTACAGCCAGTTCGCGGAGCTGTCTGCTGTTTAAGGTTCGGGGACAAGCAGCAACACCAAGATGATGACTCGTGGTCGGATGGAGGTTTTGAACAAACAAAGTCTTAAAGTTTAGATCTTCCTCCATTTCAGGTTCATTTTGACAACCAAAGTAAGCCTGGCGAAGGCGACCGTAGTACAACTGGGGAGATTCCTGTCTCTCCTGTTTGACTAACAGTGCAGCAGCTAAACCAGTGGGTGTAAGGGAGTCAGAAAACTCGTCAATTAATGCCTGACACAGCAGGTCATAGTCATTCTTGACCCGACGCGGTTGTCGTTCAATGAAGCTGCTAACCTCTCGATTGGAGGTAGCTTTGATCAAGTAGATTTTGTCATCCACAAGAGCACCTGGAAACTTCCTCAAGTAGAAGTCGATGTCTTTCAAGTAGGTGCTTGGGTCTTCTGAACCTTTTCGACCGGGTTCAAATCGTGTGATGTTACGAGCCATCTTGTCCAGATCCCTGTCTGTGGGATATGCCGCTTGACGAGCAGCAGGCGTGGACTGAGGTTGGTAACTCAGGGAACGATACCCGGAAGGTATTGGTTGGGGAAGGGGCGACAAAGTATGACCCGAGTTCCGTCCGGTGTCATCCGGACTTGATCGACCTGAATGTCCTCTGGGGACACGACTCGGTCGGAAGGTAGGGAATGGAAGCGTCTGTTGACTGCTTGGCGAGCTTCGCCCGCTCTGATCTTGCTGTGGTTGACCCAGACTAAACTTCCTCTGAGTCTCGAGGAGTATTTGCTTTAGATTAGCAGAATGTCTCTCTTCTGCTTCGAGGGCCACCCTTTTACTTTCAAACTGGGCCTTCCAGTCCCTTGCATCAGTTGAGGACTGATCTAGGTTGCTTTTCATTCTTGACAACTCCTGTAATTGTTCATGAATGGTGGACCTAGCGTCCGAAAGCTGAGCTTCCTTTTCCTCAATGGTGTCATGCAACTCTGAGATTTGGGTTACTAAGGAAGGGTTTTGATCATGTTGGGATGGAGGCTCTGCTTGCATCTCATCCAAACTGTCTCGAGCTTGCTGTAGAGCCCTTTCAGTGCCTCCCAGCTCCTTTTTGAGATCATCAATTTCCTTCATTTGTGCCCGTATCTGTTCTTGGGCCCTTCCCATGGCTTCGTCTTGTCTCTTAATTTGGACAGACATCACACAAGCCAAGCGTGCTAAAGCTTTGGGGATCTCTTTCTCTTTAGGTGGGTGTTCTGTGACCCAATCGATCACCTCATTCACCACAGTTTGAAGCCCATTGTTATCAGTGCGGTTCGCTTCGTCTACATAGCCTGGGAGCAGCGGCTGAGTCAGAGTTGTCAGCGCATGCTTTAGCTCCTCACTAAATAGTTGCCAACTTGCCTCCTTACGTTCTGCCATGTTACTTCAAGTTTAGTAAGGTTGGTAGGTTAATGAGTTTAACAAAATAGCCGTGCCTATAAAGCAAATTGAGAAAAGCTGTGAATTTAGGACCAGAAGATAAGCGCTTTAAGCAAAGTCTGGTTCACGCTAAAATAGCTGGATGTTTATTTCCGGAATGAAACAAACAAAGGAAGCTAAAACAGAATTTGGATTTTAGCTGAAAAAGAATTACGTACAAAAATCAAACCTAATCACAGCCAAATCTCATAGTCCAAACCGGATTTGGTCAAATAAACTTTACAGAAAGGAGTACAGGGAAACCTTAAAAGTAAATAGCGGATTGTCAGCTAAGCGTGGAAGGAAGGTAAAAGCTGAAAGTAATCAGGATCAACAATGCAGTTGTAGATGCAATTAAATCTTTCAAGTCTTCACCAGATAATCAAAGTAAAATTGTCCAAATTCAATTGACCTAAAGGGATAAAACAAAAATTCTGATCGTAGGTTGATTAGGGAATTATTGAATTAATTGATTAATGTTACATTAATGAATTAATTAACTATTGCCCTAAGTCTGTGATCACATTTAAGTGTTTTATAAAGGGTCACAGAAAGATGGAGGCAATGAACAATGATTACAGGTGACAAAGATTTGATTCAGCTATTCTCCTTGATAAGGCAGGTGATCTATCTGTATAAAGTAAAAATAAAAGTTGTTTATCAAGTAAATCAACGTTTTATTTGTAGTACAGAAACTAAAGACTCAATCAACCAACTCAATCTGACTATGTCTGCATGGCATCTGTTTGACAACAGGGAGGCGTGGCAGTCGGCTAGACTGCAGTCTGTTTACAATGAGGTCCAAGCAAAACAAAGGCCACGTGGCTGTGAGCCGGCTTGCAGTGCTTGCCGCTCACCACACGAGGGCGATGTTCTAGGGGGCGGTTCAACCGCTCCGTACGTCGCGACGCAACGTTATGACGTAACTATTGGCTCCACCCCTCGGGGTGGCCTGCCTATTCAACACTGGCCGAGTAGTCTCTCCAATGGACACCAAAGGGTTAACACCTCACTGCGGCTGCGCGCGCAGTGGCAATGGGAAGATTCAACGCTGCGTCTCTAACAGCGGATTGCTTCACCAGACTCCTCTGGGAGTAACAAGAGTTTACACAGACAGATCTTACAACAGCAGACAAAACTGCGGACTTAAATTCACGAAATGCGGCGATTTGTGAAAAAGAATCGTGTCTGAAATCACTCTAACAACCTCTCACTGGAAACAGTGATCTCCCGCGACAGGTAGCTAATCTGCCTGGGAATGAGGGATAAACTGAATCCTTTACAGTTACTAGAACTTCGTAGCAGACTATACAGGGTTCAGGGACTCGGAACCACGGCTCGGAGCTTCGCGAACACCGGGTCCGGCCCAAGGCCTTCTAATACAAGCGTACGGCGACGCTGAAAATCGTGCACTCAAAAATTAACAATCTGGGTACGCGCAGCGGCGGCGCGCAGAGCAGAAAGCGCAGCCTCGCTGCAATCCAAAACAATGATCCACGTGGTCTACGCTCACACACAAAAGTATGCAGCAGCAAAAATCAGCGCTATTACACAGAGCTCAATATCATCAGAACATGAAACAGAAAATACATCAAACGCCCAGTTCAGCAATTTCAAAAAGCATCAGACATACATTAAGCAAGCAATCCAGTAATTTCAGCAAGCATAGCATAGATCTTAAGAAGTCTAAGTTGGGAAATTGGGTTTCTCACTAGTTTGGGAATCTAAAATAATCTTAAAGTTGTCTGTTAGTGCCTTACAGAAGTCGTTTGAATGGCCTCGCACGGCCGCACCAAATACTGTAGCGATTTTAAATTCAAAATAAATGTCGAAAATTAATCAAATTAAATTATGACATTTATGCACTCGTTGAAGGGGCACCACCCACCTTTCTGGTGGGAAAAAGGACGAAACAAAGTTCAATTGAGTAATTAAACGTTGGATCAGTCTTACACAGATTTAAATCAGTCTCTCATCTGAGGCCGGAATTCTTCATTCAGGGACTACTTTCTGAAAGACCACTAAGACGACAACTTAGAATTAAATGGACAATTTATTAACAAGCTATATGATAACAAAACGTCAATAAATGATGATCAAATAATGAGCAAATCAAAGCACATCTAATGAATAAACGAAGGAATGGTTTAAATTAAACCTAAGACTGGAGGTTAATAATAGTGAGTGAATAAAGGGGAAATTTAACCTACGTTAACGGAGTTACGAGGGTAAATAAAAGGAATTTGGAGAACTAAACTATAATTTATAAGAGTAAGCTACTGAACGGTTGACGGCATCACCCAGTTCTCATCACAGCAGTTTAGAGGATTTAGCCTACTTTGGACGTCGGTTCTCAGCGGCACCCTTGGAATGGATCAGCTGAAGTTCTGTGGCTACCGGACCGGATACTGAAGGTTCGGCGGGGAATTCTTCCGCCGTGTCTGGATCTCAGCTTCAGGACCGTGTCAGCGCCGTTAGATACTTCGGATCTCTGGGCCTCTCGGAACCAGGTGGCAAAGCAGCTTGGCAGATGATGCTGGTCGGCGTTCAGGACTTGCTTGGTTGCAGATTAATTCGCGCCAATAACTTAAGAAAATAATTTCGCTGGCCAGCCGATATTATCTTCAGGAGTCACTTTAGCGAACAAAAATAAAAGACTTAGACTGAGGTTCTCTTATGCGCGCAGCTTGTTACTGAGGCTCTAAAGGACTTGGGAATGCTTTCATCCAAGTTTAGAATAAAAATCTGAGCTTAAGGCAATTAATAAAACGCGGGGAAAATTGCGAACGATAGGCGAAGACAAAAGAAAACTAGACGAAGACAAAAACGGAAGAGACAAAAACTGAAGAGAAGACAAAACTGAAGAGAAAACTGAAGAGAAGACAGAAACTGAAGACCGAGCAAAGACTCCCGGGCTCTTTTAAACCATCCCGTGTGGGCGTGAGCCAAGAGGAAAGTTACAGCCAATGCTGTAACCCGATGCAGCACATCGACTGGCAGCGAATTTAACTCAACTTGATATTAAAAGCGAGCTAGATCTAATTTACTCACTCACTATGATTAAACTGTTTATAACATCACATACGATCACATTTCACTTCATTGTTTCTTATGAGCAGACGCATTAAAGCATGACATTGCAAACAGTAAACTTTGATCAGCCGTCTTCTTGACACTAACAGAGGATTAATGACTTTTAAAAGTTAGAGAGGGACAGAAAACAAATTATCTATTCGAACAGAAACACCATCCAGCATAAGAAACACATACGTAATAATATTTGACAACATTATAACCTTGTCAATCAAGCTTCCCAGATGATTAATATATATTTTTGTGTGAGGTAGATAAAACATAGTATGGATACATTCCGAAACTCTTAACTTGAGTCTAAACGAGTTTCACGTTACTACTTCTAAACTACTAGCCTATCTTGGGAATACCATTTACTAAGCTACGAAGTGTATAACAAAAGGAAAGAAATACACGTGATTAGATTCCTGCCATTTGGCTCTGATCAAACCATATTCAGGCATCACCACTAGGAGGAGCTCTTGGTCCATGGAAAACCTGGAATAAATTTGTGAAGTTAACAGTTTGGCTTGTGGATATGTTACAGAATTGGAAAAAAGACCATTTCATTAAGAATGTGGTGTACAGACAGAAAATCCTGGTGAAGTGTCCATTAAACATGAAGTTAAACCATTTTCAGGCATCTTCTTCCTTCTGCTCTGTAAAGAAAGCCAAGGAATTTATGGCAGGCATCTGGTTTTTCAGATTTGGCGCCAACTGGCCTGTTTTCCCCCCTAGGTCATTGGGTTAATCCTGAAGTGTCAATTCTGATCTTTCCCAACCAGGGTGAGAGACTCCGTGTTTATGGGTCTGTGTGGTTGATAAGCAACTTGTCCTTTTTGGGAAGCGTTAAAGATTCACTATCACCTCCCAAATGGTTGCCTGGGTCGTAAATGGGAACTTGGTGTGCAAACCGTTACTCCCCCATTTCCTGTCCAAACCAGAGGAGCCTGCATTCCTTTGAGGGGTGAATTCAAGGTGGATAGCAGAAAGCAGTTGTCTCATTACACATACATATATACATTTGTCACACAGAGGGTTTTACAGCATTTCATAAATATGTTTTCTGCTCTGAAAAGTTTCTTTCTCTTTTGTTTTTCTGTGTCATTAATGATATGTTAGGAGATGAAGCAGCTGTATGGAGCTCATGCCACGACAAAGTCATCTCTCGGGCAATTAAGTGTCTTTTTATCTTTGTCAAATGAACAGTTTATGGGACAGGCAAACTTTGCAAACAAGCCCTCGTAATAGATTGTCTGCAGGCATGTTTTAAGAGGAACAACGCTATGAGGGAACTGAGAGAATGGTCGATAACTTAATCACAGACAGACAGAGAGCCCAGCAGTCTTCTAAAATGAGTGAAGAGCATGAACCAGTGGTTATCCCATCTGCAGATTCTCAGCGGTCATTTGGTGTGCTGGAGCAGCATGAATCTTTTCAAAGATCCCAGGAGGCACATGCAGATCTCTCCTGTTTTTGTATATTGTGATAGAGCAAACAGAGCAGTAACCCAGCACTCAGAGGATGTTCTTCTCATTGAATAATTTTGTCTCCATGGCTCTTTTTTATTAATCAGGATGTTTTTCGGTGTGTGAGCCCCACCCCCCGAGCATGAATCTCTTTCTGCCCACATGGGAGAGCTGAGACAGATGAGGACAGCTGAGAAATGTGCTTTTTGTGCTGACTGGATGCATTCAGAGTGTGTAAAGATCTGAACATTTCCGTCATTTCAGGAACTCCCTGAGACTCTGCAGACCCCAGGGGTGTGATAGAGCTGTATTTGGGGAACCTCTGGGGTTGATAATTTAGGAAACACTGAGCTCAGCTCCACATTAGAAACTCCACCTGGGTACTGATTCCACCAAATCAACACTCTCACAGTAATGAAACCAGGACAGCAGTCCCATACTACTTATTATGCAACACTGCCCTGGTTTCTGTGCTGTTCGAGAGCAGAGAGCGAGCTGTAAACAGATGAATGCAGAGTGAAGGAGCTTGAAGAATAGCACATCAGAAAATCGAGAAACTTTTCCTGAAGGACGCCCTCAAAGACAAATTAGCCTGCAAAGGAAGGTCAGGGAACGCCTCTTTCCATTAGAGCCTTAATTTGTTCTTTGAATGTGCAGCAGAGGAAAAAAAAAAAAAAAAGATACATGTGCCCGTCATGCGCAGGTGAGTTGTCACTTAAACTAATAAAGTCACAAAGCTTTGGTCTGTTCAAGTCTGCTTCCTCTCTTATCGCTGATCACAGACTGGAGCGAAATGGTTCGACCGCCCTGTCAGAGGGACAGTGAGTCACTTTTTCATCTCAGCTGTCCCCTCATGGGTCCATGACCTGGACTCTGCTCACAAAGGGTTCCTCATGAGGCAGAGTAAGACCTCATGTAGACACTGTAGCACATGACAGCTCACAGATTATTGCTAACACATTGAGAATTTGATGTCAGAGACAAAATGTGGGTCATTTTAGGATTAATGTATATTTTTCTATATGATCCTGTAACCTTAAGTATGCATAAAGAGTCTTGTTAGCCATAAGCACCAGACTGACTTTTATATTTAGATGTTAAAGTCTGAAGTATCTTTAAACTGGTTTTGGCCTGTAGAGTGTTCCTTGTAGTTTCTGGAGTTCAACCAGCAGCCTGTATCCCTGCTGCTCTGCCAGAAACACAAGTGGGAGGAAATGCAAAAATTGTCATCCGACTAAAACATCTTCCAAAGATAACCACTTAAAACTCAAATGTAGGGCATGTCAGTGCTGATCAGCAGGGGACCTGATAATATTTATTTATGTTTGTTCAATCCACATTTGCTACAGCTTTGCATTTGAAGTCATTGGGAAATAAGGGATGGATTTCAGTGTCTCTGCACTTTTCTTACCTAGCATGAATGTGACCATGTACAATGCGGCCTGGACTATTGGCTCCTCTGCTACTGTGTGAGGGGTTTTTGCACCTTGTGATGTGGTGGGCAACTTTGCAAGAGGCTAACAGTGCTTCTTTGTTTACTGATGCTGGGGCTCACAAAGTGACCGTTCTGTTTGTGATATTTATTAGGTTCATCAAAAGTGGCTTATGACATAACTGGGGTGTGAGCTCTCCAGGTACTGTTTTAATTTTTTAGGTTTCATGCTGTCTGCTGTTTGTTTTTAGGCATAAAAGACACACCGGTCTTTCCTCATTTCTGACCGTATTCACAGTAAACTCAAGGGCTATGCAGGCTTCATTGTACTCTCTCGTCTTTTTATTCTGGCTACCGTCACTTGCTTTCCTTGCCTCAGACACCTCCTCTTTTTTTCTTCTCATTCCCGTTAGAAACTTTTCCATCTCACCTCCTCTGTCAGCTGTGCACACTGTCTGTTCGTATGGAGCACAGACTGTGTACAGTGCATGACTCAGACTCAGCAGTTGGACACAGGTTGAAAAGTAGCTTTCTAATATTGACGCACTGTTTTGACATCGCACATGCGTATAATAGATCGAGGCATTGGAACCAATCGAGTACAGGCTGTACAGGGCAGCAAGTGTCGTGAGGATCACTGATTGGCTGTCAACGCCGACCCAGGTCCTGCCATCCTGCTTACACATATTTTGCTTTTTGAATAAATTTTTTAAATCAAAACAAACCTAAACCTTAAATAAAAATTCAGTATCAATAAAAAAGTCATAATATATTGAAGGGGTGATAAATAATAATAATAATAATAATAATAATAATAATAATAATAATAATACCACATCAAATTGTTTTTACTACCTTTTACTGGCCTTAATTTGGGCTCATTTCATTTACTACCATATACTAACTGGGGGATACCCTGGAGAAATAATGAAAGATTAATGAGTTGACAGGGTGTGAAGAGCAGTGGTATGACTCAAACAACACAATGGTCTACTCTCTCTGAACAGGAAATCTTGCAAGATCTCCTGCAGTCAAACTCAACTTCAGAGTAAATAAAAATGGCGGATGAAAGGTTAGCTTAAGGTTGCTAGCTGCTGAGCTTCCTAGTTCATCCACTGTGGTCACAATTCTTGTTTAACTCCTCTGCAGGTCAGTTTGACAGTAATATATTTTACAGGACATGTCAAGTAAACACTCAAAAAGTTGTTTTCCTTTTTCTGGTATCCATCTAGCTACATTTTTTATTTACTGTTGTCACCATGATGTGTTTGGTTTCCTGCTCCAGTCGCTTCCCCATCATTGATTGCTTAATTCCCTATTGCAAACCATCTCCAGTGTCCAATTAGGCTAATTCTAACAATCTTTCAAACATGAAATCAGTTGTAACACACCTCACACCACAGGATAATCCGACCAGATTATTTTAAAAACACTTTGCTGGCTTGAGTAAGAAAAGGTGAATGGGAGCCAACATCAGGCCTGATATCTTGGTGTGTGTTCCCATCTACAGCTCAAGTGTTAGTTACTCATCAAGTCTAAAATTAATAAAACTGACTCTCAGGGATGATCATTTACCATCGAGCTCCGGCAGCACCTCTAATCCAGGCTATTTGCTGCAATGATTTGTGGGCTCCTCTGGCCGGTGGGTGCATTGTTTAACAAGTGGCATTTGGCATCTAGAGTGAGTGGAGCATTGATGGAGTGGTTTTGTTTTCAGTTGAACAAATAGAAATGGATCTGTGGGAGGAAACCTTGATGTGTTATCTGCTGCACTGATGGTGACATTTGGAAAACAGCAAGTGCAGAAAAATTTTAATTTACATCAGAGGGAAGGTTTTATAAAAAGTGAAGGCAGTGTTGGTTCACACACACACACACACACACACACACACACACACACACACACACACACACACACACACACACACACATATAGTCTAGTCTACAGGGAGCACATGACTCACTCTGATAAACTCAGAGGCACTTCAGGTGTTTCTCTTCATAACTGAATCAGAAGTGACAAAGTAGTTCTCTGAAGACTGAAAAAATACATAGACTGTGAAAACATTGTTTCCTGAAAGGTGTGACTGTTGACTTGAAGTGCAGGTGAGAAATTCAGTCAATGTGCTGCATCTGTTCTTTAGGATCTCAGGCTTCAAGTCTTAACTTTCAGATTCAAAGATGGTGGATTGAGAGACTTAACTTTAAATCATCATCCATTTTCCCATAAGAATGTTAGTAGAATGTTTGAATGTGTTTTAGCTTTAGAGAGACTTAACTATTCCATTGCATGATTTTACTCTTGTTTTAGGGCACCAGTTGATTTTGAAATGCCATGTTATATTTTTACAGGATTTGTGTCTTTTTTTACGTCTTGGCAGGGCTCAATGCTTTCATAACATCAAAGTCTGCCCCTGTGGGGCTGCCTTTCTTTTAACAAACATTTGCAAGAACCAGTGGCAAATGAGGAAGGTGGGTGCAGGGACCAGTTCCTGTGAAACTAGTCACACCACTTTGGGAAGAGAGGGAGCAAAGACCTGCAGAAGATAACAACAGGGGAGTGGGAAATGATGAGCATCAAGCCGGTGATCCAGCACAAGCTGCTGCCAACTACCAAAGAGGAAGAGAGTAAGAGGGGGCAGCAGAAGTGAATCCAGAGTGTTATAACATAAACAGCAGGGACAGATTGACATCCAAAAGGAGGGCCAAGAGGCTACCTGGACCTTTCTCCAGTCAGGCTCTGAATCCTGCATTTTAACTGGATTGTAGTTTTGGAGCTTCTAATATACCAGTCCAAAAGGAGACTTTCTTTTACTCCTTTGTACTCCTCTGAGAGGAACTGCTTTCTGTTTGCCTTTATTATTGTAATTTAGTTAATTTGTCCCTGTCTTTGGTTGGACACAAATGTTCAACAAATCCCCTTTTGATTAAACCTGAATATTTGGTACGACTTTTTAAAAATATATTTACCTTCCCCTACATAACAAATGTTCAAGTAAAGAGCCCTGATATGTCCCAAATTGTCTCTGATAGTTATTTGAAGAGTCTGGGGTGATAGAACAAAGGATCTCTACAAAGATAGGCTTCAGAGTACACTGTAACTATTCAATACATCATCTGAACAACAGTCATCTTCAGTGGTGGCCTATGTTGTAGGAATTTAAGAAAACATACTTCACTCAAGGCAGCAGTTTGTTATCTTATTAAAGAATATATCCAGAGGAAGAAAACCGTGCAAAAATACTGAGGAGACATACTCGCCTTTTGCTGACATTGAAGTTCCACAGGGATCAATCCTTGGACGAAGTCTGTTTGTATATAAATTTAAAAAGTATCATTATTATTATTATTCCTTTTTTTTTTTTTTTTTTTGTTTGTCGTGTTTTTAAACTCCATACAATGCTGCAGGTCGTTTTGACCCGAACAGCACCAAAGGATGGACACAGCACATGGGTTTAAAAACAGCTTCAATGGAAATGCAGCGCTCAGTGGACAGCACTGTTTTGCTGTGTTTTAGATAAAATTGTATTCACGAGCGTAATTCCTTTTTTTTTGGGGGGGGGGGGGTCAGGAATGAGAATTATTTTTGGGACTGGGTCTCCAACACAGCGACAATGCGGCTCATCAGTCCAAGCAACGTGCCAGTGTATGAATCCATCCTCTGCAGAAGAGCATCAATCAGCTCCTTACTGTGCTGCAGGAACTTTTCATCTGACCGCGCCAGATACTCCAGCAGGTCTTCAGTGTTCAGTGTCACGCTTCCTCTTTCCTGCTGATTATAATACGGCACTTACAATGACACATGTATGTAAAGAGATGTTGTGAGGCTTTTGTCTCAACTGAATCACATGGAGCTCCAACGCTGCTGCTGCTGCTGCTGCTGCTGCTGCTGCTGCTGCTTGATGGTGCAAGCTGCAGTTTGGTGGCCTGGCGTCCTCAGAGTCATTGTTCAGGCTGATGGCAGACATGTCTACAAACAAAAGGACACACAAACAAAAGGTCTATGCACAATGTAGTTTCCAGCAGTTTAGATGAAAAAGATGTCAGACTTGGCCTTATGAAACAAATGAAAATAAAACTTACCAGTTACATAGGGTGCCTGTAGTGCTGCAGCGTCCTCATCCACTATCACCCCCAATATGTCCTCTGCTATTTCAGACTTCGAGGCCTTGGTTGGCTGGCTTGCTGGTCTGTCACAGAGGATGGAGTCAAGGATCTTAAAATGAGGGTTTCGTCTCTCTCCAGCTCTACAACTCTGTCTTGGGTCCCTTTTCTGGTCCCTTTACTCCTTCTTCAGTTTCTTCAGCTTGTTGGAAATCTGTTCAATCATTCTCGTGAAACCAGCCGCTGCCATCTTACGCTGGATCTCCTTAAACGCTGGCTTTGTCCTTGTAGCTCCAACAAACTTTCTTTGGATCTCAGCTGAAGACCAAACAGTAAGAAGACAGTTCGTTTCCTCCTCTGACCATTGCTGCTTAGCCTTGATGTCCATTATGACTCCCTTCTCAGCACCGGTGACAGAGCTCACAGACAGTTTTTCTTTTATACTGGGGTTGAAAATCAAAGACCCTGCCCCCAGCCTCTGATATGAGAAGTTCCTTTATTCCTTGTACAGCAAACAGTTGGTGCTTCTCTGGAACCAGTTTTTCTTGTCATAAGCCTTCCTTTGGAAGCTGAAACACAAAGAACTGGCTCCAGACAAAGCACTGGCTCCTGGAACTGGCTTGGTGGGTGCACCCTGCTATCGAATCTCGCCTTTACTAAACTAAACTAACTAAAAAAAAAAAAAAAAAAAAAGGGAGGGGGGGCCTCTGTTACCAGTTTCAAGTACAATGCCAACTAAGGTCCTTTTTATTTTTTTATTATATATTTTTTAAATTATTTGAATACTTGAAGCTGAGATGCAGCAGTGAAGTGAGTGGATGTGGATATAAACGGGCATGAAAAATCAGCATGCGGGAATCAATGAGAGTGAACTACAGCTTTGTTTGAATGGAAAGTATGAGCTGACAGCTAAAATGTACAAGATAGATGACTGTAGACCTCACTAACTATACATGCACACACAAACTCAAAGTGATGATGCTCCTCATAAATAAGAAAATCATAGGCTCCCATGAATCTGCACATAAAGTGGGTTTTTATAGAAGGGCAGACCTCTGCAGGGACCCACACACTACAGACACACCCACACTCTGGGACTCATCAGCCTGTACTCAAACACAGATTCATAGACATACACACAGAGCCTGCACACATCGATCTCCTCCACAGGCACACACTCACTCATCCACCCAAACACAACATAATGTCTCTGCCTATTTCCATTTGTTTGGATTCATTATGTTTGCAGCCTGCAGCACTTATTTACTTTGCATTCAAAGTGCAGCAAATGAAAATGTATAATTCATCATTATTTATTGTACAAAATCCTTTTCTGCAGCCCCTGAGTACCTGAGGTCAGTAAAGCCTCGACATTATCGCCTTATGAATAAGACAGAGCACCGTATGTGTGCTTTAGATGGCATCTGCTTCGTTTGTCTGATTGGTCCATTAAAAGTACATGACATTAACCATATTTCTGCACGCTCCGATGCACAATTTGAAACCTATAATATGCCTGCAATATATGCAGGAATTAGCTAGTCAGAGCAAAAACTGCTTTTTTCACCAAAGGTGGGCTTTTTAAATGGTTGTGTATGTGGCATGTAGAGCTCCAAGTGGACACTCAAGGAACTGCAGTTGTTTGCACTTTCACAACGGCTTCACTACCCAAGTCTGGAGGTTGCTGCTTGAATCAGAGTTCATATACTGGTCAATATTATGACCACTACAAATCAACCGTGCTTTGCTGTCCTGTGACTAGACACTGAGACACTTAGTAAAATAGCTACTCACAATATTTATTAAATCATGGGACTGTGGCCTGACAGTTCTTGCGCAGGGTTTAGCCAATATGGACATCCTTCTTTGCAAAGCTTTAAGACTCCTATGAAAAATGTTTGGTTTTTGTGTTGTTGGGCTATGATGGGTCCAAGTTTACAGTTTTGAATACCAAAGTTACATTTATCGGATAAAAGCTGTCCAATACTTATCAAATTCATTTTGCGACACCTCTGATAACTGTCTGTGTCTGCAATTGTGCCTTAATGCCACACTTGAACAGGCCTTCATCTCAGTAGGAGTGAAAATGATTCTGCTTATTTTGCAAAAACTGGAGCTGAAAAAATAAATGGCTTCAGCCGATGAGATAAACCTAACAAAGTCATGTGAAAATATAAACCTGTGTCGTCCCTGTGAATCTCTTTGTACTTTTTCATGCCGCAGCTCTCCAATCTCTTCAGTCAAATGAAAACAAATGCGCCAGGCTGCGAGTATCTTTGTTATTTTCTGGTAAATTGTATCCAGGATTTGAAATCATGAATCTGCGATCTCAGTCCTGTTCACTGTAGCAGTATCTGCTCACCTCTTTGTTTGTCCCATTTCCTGAGCTCCATTTATCTCAGGGAGGTTCCTGCTGAGCATGCTGCTCTCGCTCAACACTCTGCTTCACATTCAAACCAGCTGCACAATAAGGTTACAACAAAGGGTAAGAGGAGGAGGCTGTGATGAAGATTAAGTGCCCTGGTACAAACTGTGCTGGTGGTAAGGAAGACAAAAGGATAATTGCCTCATTGGCATCCTTCTTCTGTTTATACAGTGCATTTGATTTCCCCTAAAAGATGCCTTTGAACTTCTGTCCAAAACTGTGCACCTGTCTTCTTTGTTTTTTACACTGAGTCCACAGCAAACTGGACCATCCTGTACTGTGGTTCTGTAATAAAACCACCTGACACTTGCCCTGACACCTGATTCGCTCCATGGAAACTGTGACTTTAATGGTGAGTTGAAATCTTATGCTGCTCATTTTGACACCTTTCACTAATCAGCAGCATATTTTCAAGTAACACATCTTAATCAACAAGTCCCTGCGAGCCTTCCCAGTTGCATTAATGAAAAATACAACAGCAGCTTCCATCAGCTGCTGTGATGCAGATGTATTCACAGACTTGTAAATGATCAAAACAGCAAAAATCAAGTGGCATGCAGTGGAACGGGGACTTCACCCCCTCCAAGGATTTTAGACTCTGGGATAATTGCCCACCTTCCCAATTTGTCCACTTTGTCCATTTCATTTTGAAGTCGTGACTGTGACAGTGCATTTCCATGCAATATTTCCTGAAAAAGTCTGAATAATCCCAGAAAGGAGGTGACATTTTCAGCCCATGGAGATGTTTTTTGTCTCAAATCTCCATAAATACACTTTTTACCAGCAAGAAAATTGAACTTGAAATAGGCATGACTATTTTAGAGCAGTATTCAACACACTTTATATTCAGAGTTATGGAAGCAGAGGTAGACTATCCCTAAACTTAATGGCCTCTGTGCTAGATCCATGTGATGGTCCATTCCATATATCTGTCTTCAGCTTTCTCCTACTGGATTTCTGACCATTACCACTAACTTGTTCACCTCCCACCTGCCTCTGCACTATACATGACCACTCTAGCCTGCAACCACACACATACTGATGATTTGGGGTTATGCGCTCAAAATACTGGGAAGCATTGTGTTCAATTGTTTGATTAACAGCATGAACATTTCACTTAAGCATTATGAGCCGTGTGTGTTTGTTGAGTGCACCAAAACAGCGCCTCAAGTCTTTTATTTCCGAAGTGAGTCACCAATTCAAGTGTTTGCTCAGTCACAGATCATCACAGTTTCCATATTCAGATCACTATGCTGAGACCCTGATTATGAGTGATTTATGAGTGATTAAACCACTCATTAACGATTTAATTCTGTGTTATACAGTTGAATTCAATAATGTACATGTTACCAATGTTAACTGTGAAACTGTTACTGATCTTATTCTTTCTCACGGTGGATTAAGATGGGATCAGAGTTGGTCTGATCTCACAAGATTTATTACAGCGTGTGCTGCTGACCTCTTTGCAGGGTCACCCTTGTGAATGAGATCCTCAACTAAGTGGGACTGATCTGAGGCCTGTACTACGAAGCTGGATTTGGTCTTAGCGAGATAACTTCTGGATAACTTCTGGGTTTTCCGTACTACGAAGGTGGATCTCTTTTTATCTGGGTCCGTTGCCCCGGTAACTTACGCGTAGGCCTGTCACGATAACAAATTTTGCTGGACGATAATTGTGCTACAAATTATCGCCGATAAACGATATTATTGACACCGTTTTTTAAATTATAGATAATGATATTATATGGCATAATAATGCGAGTACACCATGTCAAAAGTGATAAACTTTAATTTCCACACGAGAACAACACTGGTTGTTTTAGTTGACTAAAATATTTCCCTTTTCTCCCACGACGAAGACGTAACGTTGACGAGCTAAACATAAGTCAGAGATGACTAGAATGTGACGAGACGAAAGTGCGTTTACGTTGATGGGACGAGACGGAAATGACGAACAGAGTTGCAAAACTCAGTCAGTTAAACGCTAAACATACAGGAGCAGCTTCAGTCCGCTCTGACAGCTCTCATCATCCTGCTGTGCTCCTCCAACACACAGACACGCACGCGCGCGCGCACACACACACGTGGAGTTTTGTGGTTGACAAAAACAAAACTGCTTTAAAGCCGAAATATTCCCACACTTGGGCTGTTGCGTTCGGTTTAGACACCAAAGCTGTCGTGTTCATTCTGTTAGCTTGCTTTTCACTCACGACGCTCACTTGCAGCACTGTATCCAAAAGTCTGTGTCTGTGTGCCTGTGCGCGCCAGCCCCCTCGTGACAAAGACGCTGAATGACTGACAGGAGGGTTCACTAACTCCGTTCATTCTGCTATAGAGCCAACGCCCCCAGGTGCCGAGAACAATGCGCAGAGTCAGACCTCTTCTCTCATCCAGCGTGTTTGGTAGCGAGAGAGGAGGAAAACAAACGCACGATAATTATCGAGGCTGGCAAAATGACCGACCTCGTTTTTATTTACCGAGCGATAAGGCCATTTATTGATTATCGCGACAGGCCTACTTACGCGGAACGCCAAACCTGCTCCGGAGCAGGTTATGTTTCAGGATAAGATCTCAGCAGGTATAAAAGACCGCCCAATGACCAATCGGATCTCTTGGAAAATGGCTTGCCCACTTTTGCCGGATCCCGGGGACATCGTTGCATGGATAGTGAGAGGAGCGGTTCGCCGAGAGCGTTATATTCATGATCGTTCAAATCCGTTTGATTTACCTGATGACGTTCTCTATGAACGTTACAGGTTTTCCTCGGACGGCCTCAATATTCAGGTAGCATGAAGTCTAAGCAATGCACTAATATTTACCAAGCTCCAAGTTCCAATTTCATGCGGCATATCAGTCATCATTTAGAATTTATTGAAGCAGATTAGAAAACTCTTAACCCCAAATGTGTCTGCAGATGACGTGACCATCAGATAATGGAGAAAAAAAGAAAAAAAGGCAATGTG